CTCCGCCCCCTCTGGTTTGTAGATACCCACGGGGCTCCGCCCCCTCTGGTTTGTAGATACCCACGGGGCTCCGCCCCCTCTGGTTTGTAGATACCTGCGGGGCTCCTCCCTCTCTGATGTGTAGATACCTGTGGGGCTCCGCCCCCTCTGGTTTGTAGATACCTGTGGGGCTCCTCCTCCTCTGATCTGTAAACACCCACTCAGTTCCTCCCTATCTGGTCTGTAAATACCCACTCAGTTCCTCCCTCTCTGGCTTGTCGATACCCACAGGGTTCCTCCCTCTTTCATCTGTATATACAAACTCAGCTCTTACATCTCTGGTGGTCTGTAGATAGGTACACAGTTCCTCCTACTGGTTTAAGAGTATGTCCTTCTCCCTGTTCTGAAAACCAGGCCAGCAGCCCTAATACTTCTTGAGACTCAGTGTAGATCTTCAAGGTCAACCTGCATGAAACTGGAACAGTACCGTGGCCCTCTGTATAGGAGCAGCCTTTTCTGGGACAGTGTTGGCCCTAAAGAGTCACACGGTGTAGGAGAGAATGATAATCCACCAGTAAGCAAAACCACAAATGGGACGCATAGCGGCACCCAACTTCACCCCGAGAAGGAGACCGAGCAGCTGAGGCCAGCACCAGGTGACCAGGCAGGAAAAGCCTATCCTCTGTAATGCCACTATTCACAGGCAGAAACTCACATGTAAGGTTGGGGATACGGACTACAGTACGATCTGTGAGGAAACGAGTCAGAACAGAACTGACAGATATTATTCCTTTAAATACTCAAATCAGTTCCACCAAGTGCACTGACATCGCTGACGGGAAGTGGCGTACTTCTTAATTAAAACTTTTCAAATGGGTTTAAAAGCTTTTAGACCATGACTTAGCTGTCAGACTAGTCACTTTATGCAACGGTGGCTGATTTGATGCTACAGGGCAGCTTTCTGTGGTGCTAATTATCTCCAGTACATCAGATCTTCCAAACAGGTTCACCATCTTTCTTTGTTCATTGGAGTCATGCTGTCAGACATGAGGCCTGTAAACGTGACTCAGGCACAGCACAGGCAGCTATATTCAGTATCAACTCTTTCTACTCTAAACGTGCTAAATATTACTCATTGCTCTCTATGTGGATGTCTGAAAAAGCCACTGGTATGCATTTTAAACAGTGATCATTTTCATATGCTTGTTAAAGTGTCCCCATGCAGTCATATTCATTCACATTATTTTACCTTCATGGCTGGAAGATGACTACATACACGCCTGAAATAAACAATGTCCACATCCCACTAACCCTAAGATTGACGTTACCATAGAGCCAGGCTCCCAAAAGAGCGCTTGTTATACGTCAGCTGTAGGAGAAACTGACCCCCGCACCAGTGAATCCAAAGCATTTTAGGCGTCAAAACCATCCTCTCTCAAACAGGATAGCAATCCTGACCTAAACTGTAGTTCACTCTAAATGAATCGAGAGACTCTTCAGATGCATCATGGCTACATTTTAAACATTAATGAAAGAATTCCTCTACATCGATTTTTCACCTCTGCACCATGGCCATGAATTTAATGATTCTTAGTGACAGAAAGCTTCTGCTATGTTCGGTAATTCAGTGAGAATCAGCAAAAGAAGACAATATAAACAAAAAGTGAGACTTTTTTTCATGCGGGGAAACACAAAACTTAACAGATCCATGTGTTTAAAACTTATTAAGGTTCTCTAATGCCCTCAATTAGAAGGAGGTCGAGGCTGTTCTATATTTAAACGTGCAGCGGGGACAGCGTATCGAGGACGCACCGCTTAAAGGGAAGCCTTGATACAACAGGGCCAAACACAGAACTCATACGTTTCAGACCCAGTTTGCAAATTCCTGATTTTTGGGACAAACACACCTCTCAGGAAGTCTGAGCTGACCACAGCAAACAAGGAAGATTAGGCAATTGTACTGGAAGCGCCTACATTTCGTGACTCTGTATTGGGAGCCTCAGACTGGGACTATGTCCCGGTCCCTCATCACGACACGGGTCTCTAATGCCTTGCTGAGACGTCATTAGGACCTGCTTAGCCAGCCTATAACTTTTTGTCCACCATCCTAACAGCCCTGGGGGCTGCTCACAGAAACTGGGTCAAATCAAGAACTTCTGCTATTATGCCTGATGGTTTTTAATTGTCATATTAATAAGCATTCAGAAAACAAAAAGCATTCAAAAAACAACGGCCCCTGCTGTATGTATGAATGAATCACATGGTTATGGTCACATGACTAAGAGAAGCAGGTTAAAGCCAGGGGAAAAGATGACAGCTAATTATTAATTTGCTTACACAATACAGTTAATTAAGCTTTGCCAGATGTTTCCTTTAATTACAGCTACATGGTTTCCCTTTGCAGGGCAGGGAACAGGACAGTTGAGACCTCTGTAAGACACAAAGCGGTGGAGACACAGCAATACCTCGTGTCCACATAATGACCTGATGTTTAAGTGTCATCGATGGTAAACAAGTGATAGCGGAACATGATGGCAAAGTGACTTCATGGAAGCAACTTGGGAATCATGTCCACGTAAATGAAACAGAGGCGTCTCCCGGAAACCCAGCAGACCCTGTCGGTGACACTTCTCAGCCGAATTCCCTAACCCACTTCTGAGGTACCGCAGCTGTTTGATTGGAAGTTAACTCCCAAGTAGGATAGGAATCCTCCAAGAATTGTCGAACAAAAAAAAACTTTTACTTTTTGAGAAGCCATGTTAGGCTTCCAGAACAAGCCATCTTACTGTGTCACATGACAAATATTAGAAGCAGAAAGTTTGTATAAAGTAGGTCACTAAATGGTCATCGTGCATATTCACTGAGCAAGCATTAAATTGTAATTATTTCAGTGCTCTCACATCAACACAAAGAAAATTTGCTTGTATATACTTTAAAATTATAATGAAGTATAAACACGTATATAAGAATCGTAAGTTATTAGTGTTGAGGGACCTAAGCCAAAGTTACTACAGCACAGCAGCTGGAGACATACGTGGAGTTTATCACCTACATCACATACAGAAACAGGCAGCAGATCTGACGGCGGCAAAGACACTGTACCGAAATCGGCGAGAGAATCCTCTCTCCCACCCCATCGTGTCTCAGGACCTGAAAGGGAAGGTGTCGAACTGGCGAGGCAAGCGGCACAGCTGGTTTGCTTCTGATGGTTTTCCCTTACATCGTTTCAACGACAAAGATCCAGAAAGGTCCGGAAAAGGTGGTCCATCTCCATCAGGACAGACAGGCAGAGGACAGCCGGTCGCCTTTTAATCTCATACCACGGCACCTCCGCGCCCTGCTTAGTCAGATAGATCCGTCAGATCGGCTCCTTCCCTCTCCTAAGCTCCTGTCTTGATCTTGTAGCTCTGCTCCTCCATTGCCCCTTCCTCCTCAGCAAGCTCGCGCTCCAGGGCCGCTTGCGGTCGTAGGTGCTGCTGGGAGCCCGTTCCTCCCGGGCTCTCAGGTGTGGTGAGTGCAGGAGAGCAAGAGGAGGGAAAGAAGAGTGAGAGCACCAGCCCCTCCTGGGCATCACAGGCAGGTCGGAACACGTGAGACAGAGTTCCGGCACTGAGACCGAGCCGGGTCTCTCTCTGGTTCCGCCTTCACGACTGAGCCAAGCCCAGAAACACACAGAGGCTCCCCAACCCAACTGCTCGATCACAGTACTTCTTCACGTACGCCCCCGAGGGAATCCGCTCCAAAGGCACGTCAGCGTGGTCTCTGAAAAAACAGCACTCAGGAGAATCGCCTACCGGAGGCGAGTGCTTGCCGCTCATTACTGATAAGAAGGTCATCTACACAGCTTGGGATCGCAGCTCACTGATTGACGATCTTCGCCGATAAACAGAGGAGTGTTCAGAAGTTCTGAAACCCCGTTGAAGAGCAGCCTGTTGGGTAACCGGTCCTGTCCACTTATTGACTCAGTCAGCAAGAGTCAAAGTCGTAAGTTAAGGGGACACAGATTCGATTTGGACCTTCAGCGGTGCGATGCTTCTCATCAGGACCCAACAGCAAAGGAGCAAGCGGACCAGATCCTGGAGTTTTACCGTGAATGTGCTGTGAATGTGTCTGTTCCCGCTGTTTTTGTGCCATCGTCCTGACATGCTTTTTCCCCGACTCATCAAAGTGGGGACACATTTACAGCAATTCACACACCGTGCTGGCTCTGTGATGTCAGACACCTAACAGAGAGCCCTCGTTTGAAGAAGTAGGCTGCTTAAATATAGAGGCCCCAACGGGGAGACGGCAGTCAGGTCCCACCAACATCGGAACTGCAAACCGGTCAAGATCCCAGCGGTGAGGAGCGAGCTAAGCTACAGGACACAGGCAGGTAAAGGCACAGACGATCAAAATCACGGACTTCTCTCCATGACGGCCTTGGGGATTCTCAACTTGAGAAGAATCACTATGGTCTTGGGAAGACGACTAACAAACACACGCTATGTTGTTTCAACAGATCCCGCACTCGTCTCCCAGGGAGCCATCACATCATTCAACAAGGGGTTTTGTACAGCAGCACGACCGATCAGCAGACGCTTCACTTATCCAGACACAGCAGGCTCAGTCTGTATGTGAACCAAATACTTGGGCACTACACACCAGCACTACAAACAGTTACACCTCAAGAAAAAGTCTGAATCACTTTCCTGTGAGCTGAATGTAATGAATATACTCAGGATGTGAAGGACTCCAGGGACCCCTCTGGCCTCCTTCAAGCCACTGGGCTCTAAAGTAGATCATCCTGGATCCAAATGGGACAACCCCAGGCTTAGATCATGGGACACTTAGTGGTAAATTAGCCAATCCTATGCTACGTGCTCCAAATGATACTTCCTGTCTTCATCAATATTACACCCAACCCCCACACGTTTTTTGGCCTATGCACTAAGCCTCAGAGTACAGCACCCAGCAAAGCTTTAGCCCACCGTTAAGCAGGCCTCGTCTCATCCATTTCCAACCATCTTTCTGAATGTTCTTCCTGCGATGCCTGTGGCGGGGAGGCCCAGGGAGCCCGCGATTGCCTTGTGTTTGGTTAAGCGGCTCACTAGACCCGGACTCTCACTCACCTGGCATCATTCTGCCCCCTCCATGAAGTAAATGACACAGTGCTGGAGTAAAATATACATTAATGTTTCAGTCATTGTTTTCAATTTATGGAAAGACCTGCCAGGTTTGCACTGAAACTGAACCAAAGGCAGAAGTCCAGCAGGAACCCTGCTTCTGTGGAGGTTTCCTCGCGTGAGCTGGCAGCTCTAAACTGCCTTTGCTGTGTATGTACACAGTGTTCTGAGATTGCACAGCCCTAATAGAGGTGGGTACTTTTATAGCTATTGATCTACTCAGTGACAGGTGAAAGATTGGGTGGGTGGGTGGATGGAGACACATCTATTAGCTTCATATTTGTCCACAAAACAATATTGATTTCAGACAGAAGATGTCCTTGGAGGCAAGAGCAACTTTCCACCCTGTACATTATAGTCTCACCCAGAATGAAAGAGCTTTACCGCTGATATTTGATTCTACGTTACACTTTTTTCCAGGTACTTTTTTGGCCTCTCAAGCTTAAAAGCATTTTTCAAATATCCCCAACACAACAAGAAGACATATGCCATAATTTCCCCAGGTAACAAAAGGACTATGTTGTGAGCCACAATGAAAGTGTATTAGCCAAAATACCAAAAATACAATCAAATGAAACAGACCAAACTTCATCTGCAAAACGCCGCAGGCAGTGTGAATTGCTTATCGTCATTACTCAAAAAGCTGTTCCAATACATCTACCTCATCACCGAACCATCCTCCTCATCACTGAAACACTCTCCTCATGACATCATTGAAACACCTTCCGTGTGACGTCATTGAAGCAGTAAGACTGGGATAAGAGATGGTAAGAGCAGGAGGGAGAGAAACTGAAGCCATATTCGTATATAATAATATCCTACTGTCACTATGTCGCAATCATGGATTTTTATTAATAAATCTATCCCTCTCTCTATTAATTAATAGGCTCTGAACATGCACACTCCCTCAGAAAAAAATATGACCCTTAAACCTGTCAAGTCTGTTGGTCCTGGTCACAGTCATGTCTTCACACTTACTCTCTCCCTCCTCTGCCCAAAGCTTAGACACAAATAGGCCCCACATGGAAAAAAATATATGCATGCTATTTACACACATACAAATAAAACAACACCTTATATTCACAACCCTTAATATTGCTTGCATATTTATGTGTTTTTAATTTGCAGAAACATCCTTTGAAAACTTTGCAGTGAAAACTTGCTGCGATGTTCCCAAAGTGTGAAGATGAACTTGCATCACAGGTCTGATCATACCATCGCTTTCTCACTGCTTTTATCTGGCAGGAAACTCATTCATTTTAAAAATATTCACAAGTTTCGCTGACTGTGACAGAATCGTCAAGGACCTGTCATTGAATATTTGGTACCATGTTTAATTTCTATTTCTGGAAAAGAAAATTCAAGGTTTATTTCTGATATCTAAAAGTCTTGGGAAGACAACATGGTCTCCAAAAGCCTTCTTTTAGCACCTGATATAAGTGAAGTAAATATTTGTTTCCTTGGAGTCTCTCGCTGTCAATTTTCCTGCTTCTAAGGAGGCCATTTAGAAACACAAATCAGCTGTCACTTCTAAAAATAATGTAGTTTCTTATGTTGTGTAGAATTTAACTTTCATCGTAATAAAGCCGCAACAAAATAAGTGTACGTACTGGGAATATTCTAGACAGGATCCAGTGGTCCCATCCAGGAAATGAATAGCTGGTCTTAATCTGCTTGTGTTACGTGACATGTGGTGACGAGGAACACGGTTCATATCTCCAGCAGCAGAGTGTCTGACATGTTGTGCAAACAAACATTCAGCTTTGCTACCAACTGTGCAATTGTGTGACACCTAGTAGGATAACTCTGTGCTGTCAATTACTGCCTGCTTCCCCCCAATGAGAACCAGTAGGCCAGCCAATCAGATATGTAGGTCACCGACCTCATAATCCCACCCATCCTGGACTTCAAAACCCAACTTGTCCAATCACCAGCTATTCACCCATTTCTCAGTTTTTTTGGTTTCATTGCTCTCTCCCTTTTGTATTTTAAAATGGATCATATCCCTCCCACCCTCTCCAAGAAAGCTGAACGGCAAACAGGCAGGTGGTGGGGGGTTACAGGTGCATTTTGGTCCCCCAGTTGGCTGGAATGCTGGGCGGGGTACCTGACGCTGTCTATCAGTTGCTGATGCTCTGCGCTGATCAGGATGTCGGGCAGGGCTGCCGCCAGGGTCTCCATATTCCTCTCGGCGGCGTAGTCCTTCAGCACAGCAAACAGATGCTCCTTCACATCCGGGTCATCCTTCAGGACCTCCTCAACCTGAACCGGAACACACACACGTGCAGAAGGTGTCACCTACAACTGTACACACAAGGGATGTCATTAATGACAAACAGCAAGAGCAATTAGTTATATGAGTATAAGTAAAAGTAATAGTAGTCATACCAGTATGAGTATTAAACTGGAAAGCATACTGCCTGATGTTTACTTCTGCTGTCCACTAGAGGGCACTGACTGACCTTCATGTTGAATTCCAGAGCCTTGTTCTTTCGGTCCTGACGCACACTGTCGCTGCTCTGCAGGACGCTGGGCTCCTTCAGGCTGCTGGTCATGCGCTTCAAGCGGCGGCCCTGCCGCAGGACGCCCAGGCGCAGCGTGCAGCCCTGCGACGCCTTAATCATGGCCGCCGCCGTTTCGTGTTGCCTCACAGGGATGCCGTTCACCTCCATCACGTAATCACCTGCCCGCAGCCCACTACGCTCCGCGGGGGAGTTGAACAGGCAGTCCTCCACCACCAGGGGGCAGTCCCCCACGATAGTGAACCCAAATCGACCGTCTGGCCCAGGAGGAATATCCATCTGTGGCATTAAAAATTATTTATAAATTCCACATAAAATCTGAATTTGGGTAAATAGGGAACAGAAGGCATAAATTTCACACATTTTATCTTTCTGGTTTCCTAAATGTCTAACGCAGAAATTATCTGTTTGATATACTGACACAGACACTAAACCAGGGTGGAATGGGAGTGTTCTGTTAGGCCACCATGAACGTTCGTGTTAGACCTGCATTTCTGCTAGGTAGGGGCGGTCTATGGGAGGTGTTTCTCCACCTGAGTTACTGCTTGAACACAGAAGTACAGAGATAAAACTAAACTGCCCGGTTTGAGCAAGCTCTTTTCAGGTTGGCCCCGCATGTAAACACAGATACCCTGGTATCCAGCTTGCTCACCTGCTGAATTCGGGACACCACGCCGATGCTGGGGGGGATGTTCTTCTGGGTCTTGGCCAGGGTGACCAGTGCATCCTTCCCCAGCGAGGAGACGTTCTGCCCCTCGATCTCCAGCACTTGGTCGCCGGGCTGCAGCCCGGCATGGTGGGCACTGCTGCCCTCGTCCACCGACAGGATGTAGCTGGGCCCACTGCCCCCCACCCGAAAGCCGAAGTCTTCCGGCCAGCCCTGGTTGGAGGCCGGCATCGTCAGGACTGTGCAGGCGGCAAGAGAGGGAGAGAGAGAGCCGCACAGGCTGAGTGTTAAACACAGCTAACCACAGCTCTGTGATGGCGAAATGCCTCATCCAAGACAGAGCAGCTGTCATTAGCTCCTGGAGAAAGCTGCAGACAGTTTACATTCACAGTTATTCGCACTTGTTTATTTAGCAAACCCTTAAAGCAACATGCAAGTGAGGAAAGCTCAGATCGGCACTCTGTCAGTGACCCTGTAGCGGGTGGCATTAACGGTCTCACTCAAGGGTACAGCAGTAACAGGGTCACTCTGCCAACTATAGCATTCGAGCCTGCAACCACATAACCCTGATTTACATTTTTTTACCTGGTATTCAGTTCACAGTATTAATGGAGTGGACCGTGCAATTAATCCAAAAGTTACCGAAAATGAACAACGACAACAATGTCAACATGTGTTCTTCTATCCACTTTTGGGTGGGTAGCCCATAAACTTCACCAGAAGAACAGATATTTGTCCACTTCACACACTGACTGTTCAGCCTGGTTCCTGCCCCCAGCTGACATCTTAAGACATCGAGCCTGGTTCTGTTAGTCTGACTGTACAGAACTTTGTCTGGCTATTAAAAACCTTAATCAAAGCTTTGATCTGCTCACACTGTGGATAAATGAGCCTGAGGTCTTTAAAAGCACAACGCAACACAGAGCAGCAGGCCGAAGTGCTCACACACAGATGGGGACACGCCCCTCAGCCTCCAGAGCGACCAGTCCGACAGCTCAGCTCCAAGCTGCTCCCACTTCAGGATTGCTGGCCTAATTCTATCCCCGCGGCCTCTTTTAAATCACAGGAGGTTGCTAAGCCAGCCCCAGCAGAAGCCGTGCATTCCAGATGCATCCGATCTCTCTTTCCTTAGCTTCCCAGTGCCACACAGTAAGATTCTGTCTGAGTTTTACCCAAGTGCTTTATAACTTGCTTACTGAGCACTTCAGGAGGTACGCCCACCGTATCGGAGTTATTTATACTGGGTCTGTGCTGGTTGAAGTTTACTGTTGGAATAAAACAGCTCATTTCAAAATGCTCACTATGTATCAGATTTAAGGTCAAAAGTGATCTAAACGCATAATGGAACAAAAGTAATCAGGAGCGATCGTTCTGACTTCGCGAGCAACTCATAGAGACCCCAGCAATAAAAGTGTGTCAGACATACAGTGTTACGCAGATAACAGCAATCCTGGGAGGGAAGGGTTAATACAAGCCAGGAGACTCTCATAAACTATGAAATTCTCTTTTGGAATCGGCGGATCACACTTTACAAGAAAATAAAGTGACTGCAGGAAGTAATTTAATGAACAGTCTGCTGCCTGTCAAACCTAGTGCTAATGAAAAGGTACATTTTTTTTAATAAATGCTCATTGACGTATGCAAATTTAGTGCACTAACGTCAGTCTGGTGATAACACAAAACAATGTGCTGTCCTGTCTAGAGCAGAAATTCTGGGGCAAAGCAAGAGAGAGGCAGCCTTTCAGTCCGAAAGTGAAACGTTAAGTTTCTAATTGGAAATTAAAAGAAAAAGCAAACTTACAGAAATCTTTGGAGGCAGAGCGTGATCCTGAGCGGCTCTGTCGCAGGGAGAATCTCCCCTTCCTGCTCCTCAGAAACTTCTTCATCATCTTGACTGGCTGAAGCCAGGGCCCAGGCGCCCGTCTCCGTATCCAGCGAGAATCCCCCTCCCTCCCCGCCAGCGGCACGGCAGGAGCCGGCAGACCACAGCGTCACATCGCTGAGGACGTGCTCGGAGAAGGATCCCACTCTCGAATCGGAAAAGAGCAGCAGAGAGCGGGGGGCGGCTGAGGCGGAACAGGAACGTAACAGGGCGCGTTCTACATCTCACCAGAGTTTGTCCAGTTATGTCCTTTTGAGTTCTAATCAGAAAAACTGGGACACACTAGCTGGGATCTTTAATAATTCTTTCACTGGAAAAGGTGCTGTGAAGCCCCAATTTTCTATAAATACCTCCCCCTCTCTCTTGTACACTCTGCCACTTGCTCTCTCCCCCCCTCGCTCTCTCTCGCTCTCTCACTCATTTTCAGATCAGTCTCTCTCTGAGGGACAGAGGCTGACCCAGAAACAGTGTGGCGGACCAAGGAAGGGCGATGGCAGAGTGAAGAGCAACTGGCGAGACAAAATGCATACTGTGAGCACTGTAAAAGGGAGATAAAACAGTGCGAACATTCTGGCCTATATTATAAGAGGCATCTGAAGGTCTCCTTCACAGGAAAATGAGAACAGCGCCCTCTGATGTTGGGGCAGAGGCACTACACCTCATGGCACAGCCACAAGCTGCAAAACAACTCCACAGAATAAAAGAAGACTTTCATACCATGTTCCAGGAGCCAACCTCGTAATGGCCTAATACTCCACGCAAACAGAAATAGAAATTAAGTGTCTGATTTAGTCAGATGTCCAGGTGCAAGGGAGGCAGTCAAAACAGGGCCCTATAATTCACTGCTTAACTGACACTTTTTATATTAAGTGACATATAAAACCGTTCATTACTTTGCATATTTTACTCAAGCTGTTCTGGTTAAAGGTCATGGCAGGGAGTCTTCTCCCGGGACTACGGCACATGTACTTGTCCAGGTCACTGCGAGCAGAAGTGGGCCGAAGGCAAAGGGAAGGATGGGGCAGCCAGCAGCTTGATGCAGCAGTAACGGCTGCTTTTAACACTGAACGCGCTCCCAAAGAGCACAGGGGCTTCCGGAAACATGGGGCTGCAATGACAGTGGTCAGATTGTTTGTGTTTGAGTGAATCTAGGTGTAACAGCAGCACTGCTGAATAAAAAAAACGACAGCTCTGACCTTTACCCTCTACATGCTGATCAGAGGTAGGGTGGTGATTTACAATCTTTCTTTTTTTTCCTGACCTGGTTTTCAGATTACAGTGTGTTCATCAGCATCCCGTTTGAAGGCCTTGGCTAGAATACCAGGTCAGGGAACGTAGGATCTGAGGATGTGTGAGTGAGCCATGGATCTGTGAAAGGACCCCCCCTACCACCCCCCCTCGCTGTTGATCAATCGGCAGGTGTTCTATTATGAGTTCCTTCAATGAGCCTGACGTGGAAATCTTCTTTGGTCAGGATTAGAGCGAAAGGTACCCCCATGTTGGTATTTTAAGAATCAGAAGCAGCCAGAATTTGGAGATTAAAGGCAACCATAGAGGTTGTCCAACCTGATTTAGATGTGAATTTCATGCCCTGGTATAAGAAAAAGAATAAAGAACAATTACTATTACACCAGTACTATCTCAAACAATATGTAATCTGATTAAAGGGAGACATGGGAACCAGCACGGACATCCAAGGTTTACATCAATTACATAGAATCTGACACAACATGAAAGGCAAGTCCTGCAAACAAGAACCAAACTGTACATTAAAATTAACTGCAAACTGTTTCTTAGCATGTTTAATTGTTCATATAGTTTACATGGCTGACTGATCAGATTTTAGCAATTATAGTCTTAGGTATTTCCCTTAGTAGTACTTAATAACTCCAGTCATGTGAAAAAAGAAAGTACACCCTGTTTAATTTCTAAGGTTTTAGGTCTACATATCAGGACAAAATAAAAAAATCATCTTTAGCAGGTCTTAAGATTAAAACCTCTAATAAACAACAACACATGACATATTACACTGTGTCATTATTTATCTAACAAAAACTAAGCCAAAATGCAGAAGCAGTGTGTGAAAAATTAAGTACACCCATACTTCTTCAATAGGAATTAAGAGGGTAAGTAGCACCCAGGTGTTGCTAATCAAATGCACTTGATTAACTGATCATCAACAACTGTGACCACCTCTAGAAAACCAGAAGTTCTGCAACGTTAAGAGAAATTGCAAAAAACCCAAGAGCTACATCTCACACTCTACAGGCCTCAGTTAGCAAGTTAAATGTTAAAGTTCATAACCGTACAATTACAAAAAGACTGAACAAGTGTGGTTTGTTTGGAAGGAGAAAGCCTCTTCTCTCTAAAATGAACATGGCAGCATAGCTAAGGTTTGCAAAGTTGCATCTGAACAAATCACAAGACTAATGGAACATTGTCCTTTGAACAGACTAGACCAAGGTGGAGATGTCTGGCCATAATGCACAGTGTCACGTTTGGTAAAAACCAAACACTGCAAAAACACCTCATACCAACTGTCAAGCATGGTGGTGGAGAGGTGATGATTTGGGCTTGTTTTGCAGTCACAGGACCTGGGCAACTTGCAGTCATTGAGTTGACCATGAACTCCTCAGTATAACAAATTATCATAGAGTCAAATCTGAGGCCATCTGTCCAACAACTGAAGCATGGCTGAAATTGGGTTATGCAACAGGACATTGATCCCAAGCACACCAGGAAATATACAACAGAATGGCTAAAAAAAAAAGTTATTTCCCACATGACTGTACATCAATTACATAGAATCATACACAACAGGAAAGGCAAGTCCAGGTCAAATTGCAGACAAGGACCAAACTGTAAATGAAAATTAACTGAAAATTGTGTTTCTTGGCATGTTTAATTGTACAAATAGCTTTACAAGGCTGCCCAATCAGATTTTAGCAGTTCCGGTCTTAGATATTTCCCTCAATATTACTTGACTAGTTTAAAGGACTGTTTTTCAGTCTCTGCCTTGTCTATAACTGGTTCATATTTCTTTTAGTGATGTGAGTCAAACATCCTGATTTATAGATACAAGATATGTTACATGCATACTTGGCAAGGAGGGTGTCAGCTGCCTGACAGTTTTTCCTGTGTTGTGTAATGCGAAAATGGGTCAAATCACTGGACAGATTTTAACTGTTTACTGTGGATTTACTTATTTTCATATGTAAATAGTGGGAATAAAAGCTCAAAAAGAAGAACCATTTTGGATCACTACCGGATGAGTACAGTTACTGGGGCACACGTCAGCTGCATCATTGCAACTTTAGCCTTCAGGATCTCGACACCAACACAGACAGCCTGGAAGCTTTTAAGCAGAAGGCGGGGACAGCTCTGACTGCCAAGAGATGCTTTTAATCACTGGTGTAGGGATGCAGAAGGCACTGAATCCTAACGAATTGAGAGACACCCCCCTCGCAGAGTTGCAGTCACAGCTGTTACACACAAAAGTGGCGGGACATGCCTGGGGAGCAGTTCCATATTTCAATCACCTTCTCATGTCGTTTTCATGGGACCCGGACAGACACTCGCTCATTCTGGATAATCATCAGGTCCTTCGGCCAAGCCCTCAAAGTGCAACGAGGCCATTCCAAAGCATTCCGAGATATAACCTAGGATACGTTTGACACAAAAGCGTGCAGCCACCTGAGAACCAGAACACCCCACGGCAAGGACAGCACATGAACCCGGCCCAAATGTGACACAGCCAATGGATGGATCCATAACTAATCCGTCTGATCTGCTTACAGACAGTGGGTGTTGGCCGCCCTGGTTCCCATACTGTCAGTGTGTAAGTTTGAGCTCCCCGCCACCCCTCAACTTTGCGCTGTGGTCCGGCAATCCTGGTTTGCAGTTAAAGTTGAGTGTGGTATACAGAACCAGATAAAAACTCCAACCAGCTCCTTCAGCCTGTAATGTGAAATGGCCAGTCGGTCAGTCAAGTGTTTCTGTTAGCTTTGCTCATTTTCCCAATTCTGTTGGTCTTGTTCACTTTTCAAATTCATCCGTCTTCTGCACCCGCTTGTTCTATTCAGGGTCGTAAGGGGACCGGAGCCTAATCTGAAAGTTACAGCCACAAGACAGGGAACAACCCAAGATGGGGTACCACTCCATCGCAGAGCACACTCACACACCAGTCACTCACCTATGGGCGTATTAATAACTCCATCCATTTTCCAAACCGCTTATCCTTCATTTCACCTTAAAGTTTGACATCCCCGAATAACTAGAGACTCACTGATTACATACAGTTACAGTACTGATAGGAAAATCTCAGCTAGTTTACTGAAGCATCTGCCATTTCACATCTAAACACTCAGTAAACGCTAACCTGGGGTACATACCACTTATGCTGGTATATTTCTCTCACAAGATCATGTTATGTCCATTAAAAACTATATATAATGTATAATTAGTAAAAAATTCCAATTAGCGTCTATTTGAGGAATGTGGTTTTAGTTCAGTGGTTTTCAGCCATTTTTGCACCACGACCCAATTTTTACCATTGCGCGACCCTATATCAGGTATAGGTTTAAATTCGCGCTATGATGAAATACGCAGGGGACTCTGAAATCTACGCGAATCAATGACTATCGCACAAATCTGATTGGATGTAGCAGTGAATTCAGTGTATGTGGTTTAGCTCATTGGATTGGTTGTGTTCACTAGTTTTGAAGATCCAAGGCCCGTTTATATAGGTTTATTCTAGGATTGGGGCTGGGAAATCTGATCGTGAATCAGCATAGGAGCTTGCTGGTTTTAAAACGCTCACATTTCCAACTCTGCCTTGTGACCCTTTCAGCACTCGCTGCGACCCAAATCTGGGTCGCAACCCACGGGTTCAGAATCGCTGTTTCAGCCAGCCGTTTAGTTAACGAACAAGATGAAGCGGTGCACGTGACTCACCGCCGTCACTAACATTTATTTCCCTTCTTGAACGGGCGCAGCCCACAGATCTGCCGAGTTAGTCGGCAAATGGCTCCTACAGTAAAATATAAATCACCTGGGGGGTTATAAGAGGGGCTCATACCGCTTACCTGAGGCCGCCTTTCTACCTTTGAAGGTACAGACCGCCTCCCTGTCTACCTGTTGGGCCCCGGCGGACGGGGATCCACCTTCACAGGCTCGTCCCCGTTTTCCGGGTCCCCCTTCCCACACATATCCCATATTTTCATTAATTTCGTGTCATTCTAATGGCTATTACTCGTCGGGAGCGCCACCGGCTCGCGGGATGAAGGAGGGGGTGGGTGGGGCGGTGCGAGCCGGGGCCACGTGACCCCCTACGTAATGACCCGCGAGCCGCAGTAGGAAGAAGAGCGAAAGCTGTGACGCGACGGAGTGAGTGGGTTAGTATTTCCAATTATACTGTTCGACATAAAAATGTAAAATGTGCGATAAATGCATCTTTCTGTAATGCTGTGCATTAAAAATAGCATTGCATGCTCATTCCATAATAAGAGTTTCCGAGTTTTCGATGACACCATATATTCGTCGTTTTATGTCATAATCATTTATATTTTTATTACCTCGATCATAACCAAGATAAGGATACTGTTACACTGCACTCCTCTAGTACGCCTGTTAGATGCGATCAGCTGTTCAAATTTCTCTTCTTTCAGTTGTCTAATGTTTATTTGTCCGATTCTGCATTGTGTAGAAATTCTGTAGAAATTCACCGGAATGACAAATGTCTACGAATGATTTATATTTATATGCATGATGCAACGTAATGAAAACCGCTTATAGTGTTATGGCGTAGATCACAGAGGGTCAGCCCGCTAAAACATGAGTTACGGGTCAACAGGGATTTGGGACTAGATTATTATTCAAAGCATAATCTGAATATCAGGTTTTCTGATGAAATACACATATCACCGCGGCTGTCCGAAGATCGATTCGAAACCACCTGATTCGGTTTTAACCACATGGAAGTGGGCACTGAGTGTTTGATTAAATTACTAAGCGGTCACTGCTTCTTTGACGTGCCGGATGCCGATGTTCACCTCTGAAATAAAACGTTTGTGTCTCGGTCCGGTGCCGTTGTTTTGTCCGAGTAAGATTTGTTGTGCCAAATGATTAGTTGACGGGAAGGTGAGACATTGCTGTAATTCCACACCGCGGTTTTATTCCCTTTGTCGTCATTTCAGTGATGATATTTCGCCGACATGCGTCCGAGAATGCAGTTAATTCTGAGACTACTAGTCGTTTGTTTGGTCTGTGGAGCCATCGTGAAGCTTGCATTGCAGCCCAGGTGAGGTCCTTATCTCTGTTTACCTACCTGCTGAATGCCTTGCCTTCTGTCTCCTGCAGATTATTTGAAGGGTGGGTTCATACACAGCATGTCTTTGACTCATTTAGCACATAGGATTAACTTATGTATAAAAACTGGTATGTGACTCAGACAATTTCCATCTAAAAGGAGTAGCCTGTATGCTACATGTGTATAAAGGAAGAAAGTTGGTTTATTTTCCTCTGTCTGAATCTCGTAATAAGCACTGATCTACTGTGTATGGGTGTTTTTCTTATTCTTTTTCCCTAATCACCATAGTCCAAAAACAGCAGCCAAGGAAACACTGATCAGAAATGTCAAGTTTTGGAAGAGTGTCCAAAAGAGTTCAGAGACCTGGAATGGCTCTCCTGTGGACAGGCATTTGCCTACCCCGGAGGCTGCAAAAGGAAGTGGGGTCACCGAGCCGGTCCCAAAACCACAGCCACACCTACAGCAGTCCAGCGGGAGTCCTCTGCGCATAGTGCACTTAGACCTGAAGGGGGCTGCCCCCAAGGTCAAATACCTGGAGCAGGTGAGGGGTCGGGTCATGCATGTCAGACAGATATCAGAGGGAATCCTTCTTACACGTACAGGGATTCATTCTCTGTACTGGCCACATTTTGACAGGCAGTGTCATCTACAAAGCAAAGCCTTAACACTGTAGCACCATTAAAGTATTAAGTGTGATCAGAGAGGGGGTGACGTGGTGGATTCATACAGTACCATGCATTTACATGTGGGACCCCAGAGGTTTGGGGCCCCCTGATGGCCACAGACAGACACTACGTTACGGCTGGGCCCCCAGAAACAACAAGCCCATCCCTGCTAATACCGAGACTTTCAAGTTAAATCGTCACTGAGGCTGTTGTTGATTTTTCTTATTAACCGCAGTAATTTCAATAATCACATTCCAAACCCCAGATTTATTCTTTAAATAAAGCCCTTGAGATCTTTATTTATTTTATGATTATTTGTTATTGTTGACACACCACAGCACACAGTGCACAACAACGAAATGTGTCCTCTGCATTTAACCCATATGTGACTTTCGTGACATAGCAGGGGGCAGCTAATTCAGTGCCCGGGGAGCAGTGCTTGTGGGCGGTACCTTGCTCAGGGTACCTCAGTGGTGTCTTGCTGGTTGGGGATTTGAACCTGCAATCTTCCGATTACGAGTGCGCTTCCCTAACCATTAAGCCACCACTGCCACTTCTGCCACTGCCACTTTAACTAATCTCACACCAACCGCATTTCAGATCTTCCCTCTGCTGTCTGCCCTGGGTGCTGATGGAGTCCTAATGGAGTATGAGGACATGTTCCCTTACGAGGGGGACCTCCATCTGCTCAGGTCTCCGCATGCTTACAGGTAGGCGTGGGGGGATCACCTGGGCTTCTCAGTTCATTCTGGTTTGCACAGAGTAACTGTTCCCTGTTCTTGTCATGGACCAGTTTGGAGGACATCCAAACCATAAGGACCTTGGCCCGTCTGAGCAAGCTAGAGATGATTCCTCTGGTGCAGATCTTTGGACATCTTGAGGTATGAGATGAGAGGGACCTCGTGTAAACTGACCCATCTCAGTGATAAAGCGATACCCCGGTACATAACCTGCGTTCTCCTACCCCCTCCCTCTTTCTGCTCCTGCGAGCAGTTCGTTCTGAAGCATGAGGAGTTCAACCCTCTGAGGGAAGTGGCAGCCTTCCCCAACAGCCTGAATCCGCACGCGCCTGGGGTTCGCACCTTGATCACGGACATGGTGATGCAGGTCCTGAATCAGCACCCAGATTCCCGCTGGTTCCACATCGGCGCTGATGAGGTGAGCCCTACTCTCCGAGCTCGGTATTCACGATCCCGGACGCCCAAGCGACAACATCTCAATGGTTCCCTTCGGTCCCGAGGTGTATGGGCTCGGCGAAAGCCAAGACTCCAAGAACTGGCTCCACGCTAATGAGGGGAACGTCGGAAAGATGTTCCTCAACCATGTGACGGCGGTAGCAGGATCTGTGCTGGAGAAGAGGCCTAACATCAGCCTTCTCATGTGGGATGACATGATGCGGATGATCAGCGTCGCGGATCTGAAAGGTACGGCTGTGAGCAGGTGGCAGGCGAAGAGCGCCGGCTGATTCGGGCTCCGAGCTTCAGGTTTTTCAGGAGCATCTGCTGAAATAAATCTAGCTGCTAACATCCCTGCGAGTCTCAGCAGCTCCACTGTCATCAGTGTCATGTTAAAAATGAAGCGACATAAAGGAAATTACAACCTACATGCACTGTATTGTTGCCACTTTCCCTCTGTCTCTCTCTTTGTCGTAAATCCCTGGTTTTGTAGCGTCGAATCTGCCCAGAATCGCCTCCCCTGTCATATGGAGGTACCGGCCAGATTTCAACACAGGACATGTTGGTAAGTTTCCTCTGTGTAAACAGCCTGGTTTGCAAGTCCAGTAAACTAACAGACATCTGTACTGATCTGTAAACCTCGAAAGAACAGAGATGAGCTATTCTGGTATCTAGAAAAGCACAAACCAGTAAGTCAGTTAGCTGTGCTAATCACTTTTGATGGAAAATATACTTTTTTGAGTCAAATTTTTGTATGTACTTTTTCCAGAAAGTTTAATCTCAAAATACCAGGATTCTGGTTTCGCGAGCGTCTGGTTTGCCAGTGCTTTCAAAGGGGCTTCAGGCGCCGACCAGCGCTGGACTCCTCTCGACCATCATCTGAAGAACCACCTGATTTGGCTGAAGGTCATGGAGGCCATGCCCAAGTACCCATCCATCTCCTTCCAGGGGATCATACTGACCGGCTGGCAGCGGTAAGACGCGGGTCGCCGCCCAAGCAGTCGACTTCTGCCTTGCCGTGTGATGGCCAGCTGATCATGCGTGTTCTTGGCGTGTTCTAGGTATGAGCACTTCTCGGTCTTGTGTGAACTCCTGCCTGTCGGTGTCCCTTCTTTGGCCCTCTGTCTTCAGACATTAAAGCACGGTGAGTAGAAGCAGGAGCTGCACACTGACGGTGAGGAGGTTCCACAAGGTCTTGGGGAGTAGAATTGATTAGAAAGCCTTGGGGCCCATGCTGCATATACAGACTCTGTTGTTCCCTATCATGTCGTTTCTCCTGTGCTAAAACCCAAACACCCGCCTCTCCTTGTCATTCTTCCCTGCTGCTTAATCAAACCCGCTTCTCCACATTCTTCCAAACAGTCAACCGTCCTCCCTTGCACAATATATATCTCAACTGAAATGCATCGTACAGTCACTTCTGGTTTACGGTGTTGCTGTACAGGCTTTACCAGATATATTGCAATAACGGGGGAACCTAGATTTACATCATTCTTTTGTCAAAATATAATAAGTGCATTCGTCCATATTGGGATGAGGGCCAATACAATACAATAGATAATAAAGAGAGAGTTAGACATGCCATTATTCACAAGGTCAGAGAGCAGTAGATATTGCAGTAGCCCAGCTCGCCTATTAGTGATGTCAGAAGCTTGCCGCTGCCAAACTCCACGTGTAAACAGAGCACCAGAATGTTGGGTCACCTTAAAGAAATGTGCGCTGTCTGTTTGGTGATTTACTGTCTGTTTCTGTGATTTCAGGCGATTTCAGTGACCAAGTCAAAAAGGAGGTCGAGCATATCTTGGGCTGCAAGCTTGACGTCAAGAACGGCACCTGGTACGGTGATGATGCTTGTCATCTGTGACAGACGTTCAGACTTGGGTCCATCCTGTCGTTTGTGCCTTTTGCAGGCCTTTGATGTTGCGTGAGACTCACTGTACAGTTCCGGTTTCTCCTACCATTTAACTGTAAGCACTTCATGCTCTCACAGTAAAAGCGGTTCGCCCATACCTGTAGGTACAGAAACGCTCCCATTTCGCTTTGGAGACGTGTAAGGTGGGAAAACTGGGTGTTAGTGTATAAGTAACACTATAGGCAGGCAGGTCTCTCTGATGACGGCACTGTGCTTCCTTTCCAGTGAAGGCAGTGGTGCTTTTTCTGGCTCGGAGCTGTACCACATGGTGCACCACATTCACACCAACCTTCAGAGCGACATGAAGGATCTGTTAGGAAACCGGTGAGTATGTTGGAGGGGGGACGCTGAACTGCAGCAATGAAATATGCGAGAATCTGTCATCAGATGGTTGATTTATCAAATGACTGATAAAAGGGAAACGTGAGAGGAATTTTTCCTGTGTTCTAATAATGGCACAGTAATAACATTAATGAAGTTTTCAGGTGTCTAGGGAAGGTGGATGGACAGAATTCTGAAAAAAATTGTGTAGAGTTTGGACAGTTCGTCCAAGCATCCTGTCCGTTTGTCTTACAGTGAGCTGCAGGGGGTGTTCTCACTGTATCACAGGAAGTACCACATCGGCAACCCTCGAAATCTCGGCATTTATAAAACAAAAATGGAACAGTAAGTGTTCTTCGCTGAATTTGGTCGGCATGCCGCCCAGTGTGTCTGTCGTAGGGGGTGGTCAGATATTTGTTTGCCACGGTGGTGGTAGTGAAATACAGCATCACCTGCCTTCCAGGGGAAACCTTCATAGTAGTTTTATTTGAAAAGCACCCATATATGCGCCTGGTAACACCCACAGCCTGCTCCTTCTGATAACAGGTCATGTGACCACAGCATGCAGGGTCACGGAGGGTCATGTTTGCTTAACCATTAGCATGGGCGGGAGCATGATCTAATGGGTTTCAGAGATGGTGTTATTGTTCATACCGGACACGGTGCATCCTGGGATTTTCACACACTACAGCGTCTCGAGTTTACAGACAATGTGATGATGCGTTCCTGTGTCTGAAAACACTTTGATATAATAAAGGTCATAGGATAATGGCAAGACTGGTTAGTGCAGAAGTAAATGGTCAGTCAGTGCGGCAGAGCAGGTGTCCCTGATCACATGACACCCCAAACTTTGGAGCAGCTTTAAAGGCAGGAAAGGCGTGGTACCCGGTATTCGGTATCTAATATAATGAGTGCTGGGTGTGGATCGCAGTATGTTTGTCTGTGCCCCTGAGCTGAGTTTTTCAGCCGGGGGGGGGGGGGGGGGGGGGGGGGGGAGTAGTCCCCCGTAGTCACATTCCTGGGAGGGGCTTATGTCTGACGGCCTCACGTTGACCCCGCAGGGCTCTGAAGCACTGGGAGAGCTACCTGGAGAACTTCCGCGTCCAAATGGAGGCCATTTACTTTCCCGACACGGTGGAGGAGTGGATGGACGAGAATGTCAACCCGAGCATGGACCAACTCAGGGGCCTGGTGGCAGATCTGGGCCAGATAATTGCCCTCGAGGGCAAGCCGAAATCTGCTCGCCTGTAGCTGTAGGGGTAACTAAGAGGTAATAATGTCCAGCTGCTCAGAGTTCCTCAAATGCGGCCTGGGGCCCGGCCCCATCGGCCCCCGCATCTTTGGGAGGTTTGCGTGGGTCCTGTGTTTTCCTCTTGCCGTTCCTCCCTCTCTCCCTCCTTTTGAGACCAACTGCCATTGCTCAGAGAACTTTGCACTGTGTAGCTGCATTCTGCTCTGATTGGCTGGCCATCCTTGCCGAAGATGGATTATGCTGCTGTGTGCTGATTAGTCACTGGCCAGTGGCGCACATGCGCCTGAGCGCGAGGCAGCGTCTCCTAGCAACAAGTGGTCCACAGGTCTTGGGCCCGCTGAAGGACACCATCAAGACAAAACTACCTTTTAGTTCCTCACTTGATCAAAAACCACTTTTGGGTGTTGTTTGTGAGCCAGATGTTCTGCTTAAGATGTGGTAATCTACCCCTTAATGTAAAATACAGGGAATGTGTATTTTTTTGGTAGAGCTAATTATCGTGTAACTTTTTAATCAGACTGTGCAGTGATACTGTAACACGAAGCACTTTGCTAGTAGCGACCATAGGCGTCGTCGTCAGGCCATTCGCCGAGTTTCTCAGGTTGTTTTTTCATTCTTGTACGAGGTATGTGTGATATAACACAATACACACTTTTGATTTGTGTAAGTCTGTCTGCATGATTTATTTGAAAGCTGAATTTAGTTTGACCCGCTGTAGCTGGTCAGCGGCGGCAGCTAAACAGCAGTAGCTAAGGTGTTTCGGTAGTAAGCCGTCGTCGGATCTTCCCGCACATTTCAGGGATGCAGGGAGGTCATCCTTCAAGTATTATATTTTAATATAATATTTTAACGTTTTTTTTTTTATAGATTCACGTATAATCCATACACGAATTTTAAAGCAGCAACTGTCGCTGTGTCAGCTGTTTTGGGGGATGATTTTTTTCAGTATTTCACACGTCAAAACAAAATCACAATTCAGTGGTTTTATTAAACACAAAGTCTCACCATCCCAGCCCGATATATATATACACATTTAAAAATAAAAATCCCGTTCAGCAGCCCAACCATTACAAACAGCAATTTAATCAACATTTGTAATCATAAAAGCTGACGTCACCTGATCAACGGGCCAATTTACCTTTGTGACAATAACTGGAAATATATTACTGCTATAGAGGAGCATAACATTTAAGTGCCTAACGACGACTGAGACGTCTTACGAAGCCCAACGCAGCATTAGTCACAGGTGGTCACTCTGTGAGGGACGCTGTGTTTTGGGGACGACATGGTGACATGCCCAGAGTGAATCCCCTCCGAGTTATCAACAGTGAGGGACCACTCCCCTAGTACAATGAAAGAAAGATTCGGCTTAACATGTTAGCTTGGCGGCCTCTGCTGGCTCCGTCCTCCCAAAATGACAAAGCTGTTTGAGACTCTACTGAAGTAACTTCATACCTAAGCTCCCCCTCCAAAGAAAATCTATTTGCTGCACACCAGCTCCGTTCTCTGTTCCCCGCTAATGGCGGTCCGTCTCCCCACCACTCTCATCTGCAGATCCTCACGCCCCCCCCCCTTTCAGACCTTCGGTAGCCGGGGGGGGGCACTGAGGAGCCCCCACTGCAGGGCCAGCATGGCCTGCGGAGGCAGCCTCTCCTTGGGCTTCCGGAAGCTGTCCCTCTCCTTGCGCAGCACCCGCAGTACTTCCACGGGGTCAGTCTTCCCCGTGAATTTCTGAACTCCCTCCTCCCTGTAAGGTGGCGAGGGGGACAAGATCACATGGATCCCACCCACTGTCCACGATTGGCTGATATAAATGTGATACCGTGGGGTTGGTCAGCATAACTAATTATGCAGTTACCAGCATGCTTTGCACCGCACCTCACATCAGAAGGCCTTTTATGTTGTCCCCCACAAACGGCTCTTGTTTAAGCTCAAAGCTACAAGGATTTTAGGAACTGTAGCAGCTTGGATAGAAAACTGGTTAACAGACAGGAAGCAGCGGGTAGTTGTTAGAGGCACAATGTTATAGTGGGCCTGTGTTCATAGTGGGGTACCGCAGGGTTCAATTTTAGGACCACTACTGTTCCTAATTTACATTAGTGATATTGACACCAATACCTACAGTAAACTGGTTAAATTTGCAGACGACACCAAGATGGGTGGTGTAGCAGATACTGATCTAGCAGCACAGAGGCTACAATATCTTATCTGCTTCTAGTGTTAAGCCAATGGCAGCTGTTGGTTAATTAGCACAGCAACCTCCATTTTAAAAGAGCTGTCATCTCCTTTATTAAAATTACTTGTGCAACCGCCACAATAGGTTTATTTGCACTCTGTATGTGGGTCTGCTGCATCGGAACACTTTGCGCCCTCTAGGGTTATGGCATGACATAGAATGGACAAGGTGGTGTGTTAAGTATGCGACCGATTGTCGTCACCAGTGTGTTTGATTTCATTTTGACTCAGATGTCGTTTGAAATACACGGCCACGATCACTCATGTCTCCGGTCCTTTCAGTCCATCCCCTTCACCTCACGCCCCCCCCAACCACGTGTGCCCTAGACAGGGATTAACTCACGAGAGCCGCAGGAAGGGGTTGTACTGGAACTCATCCACAAGCGTGGACGGCACAGTGGGCTTGTCGTCGTCGTCCCGTGCCTGAGGGGACACACGCCAGCCAGCAGGTGAACAGACAAAATGTGCCCGACCATATTCTAGAACTTAGTAGAACTTTCTAAGTCAATTGAGACGATGAATTGGACCCCCATCTCCTGCAACATGACCATGGTCCTGGCTGTGGGAAAGGTTTGACCCCGAGGGGGGGGGCTGAGACGTGGGGAAAATGCTACCGAACCCCCCACCCCCCCCCTCCGCCGCTTACCCTTGCCCAGCTCAGCATCTCCTTCACCTTCTCGTTGTCTGGCTCCACCTTCAATGCGAACTTCAGGTTCTTGATGCTATACTCGTGCCCACAGAAGACCTTCTGAAACAGCAGCGTAGAAAGACATGGACGTTCTCTCATGGTAAAAGCGACCAAGCTGGAGGTGCTGCCATGCTGACAGGCTCAACAGTCCTGCATGTAAAAGCTTGTTTTTATAAAAGAATGACTATTAGCAGTTATAATATGAAACGCCTGTGGTTAGTGCCAAGAAAATAACAAGATATAAAATGTGAGAGAACAGGGAAATCACTTTAAAAGTGTAAACCTGAGGCTGACACAGGAAGCTGGAGCCATTCTGCTACATTTACAGCATTTAGCAGACACTCTTTCAGAGCGGCTTACAACTGCCGTGACTGTTCTTCGATCTATAAGCTAGACCTAATATCAACAACTGTCGTCATGATCAAGTTAACGCTAAGAACGTTGTCTAATAAAAAACAGTGCACAGGCAAACATTGTTAGTGGATTTTTTTTTAATGGAGAGAGTGGATAGTAAGACAGGTATTAGTCTCATAGGTAAGAGTTAAGTGTTGGTGGTTTGAGATAAGCAGCGCTTGCCACATCATGTGACCTCTGATGTCACTCCTATTACTGACTCCATTTCCTCTCAGCTGTCACTCCTTTGTATGACTGTGTTGTTTTGAGTCCCCGCAAGGTGAGAAGAGCTCAGGAAAATAACCAGTATGCTCTAACCCTAGGTAAACTCCCCCCCCCCTGCCCCTACAGTCAAGGCCTGGCTGCTTATCTGATTCAACACAAAGTGCATGATTCAGCGGTTTCCATGCAGACATCCCTGAGCCGGGCTCCGCTTTCTGCCTAAGGTCAAGCTGACTGATTCCCGTCCCGGAGCATGACACACGGCTCGACACGCTTTCTCTCGCGGACTTTGAGTCAGCGAGTCCCCATACAGATACACAAATAAGGCAGTTAATAATAAGTGACTCATGAACACACCGGCTTTTTGTTAATACATGAATTGCCTTACGGTGCGTAATCATCCCCTAATAAGAGGCTGCTTGTTGCCGCCAAACCTCGTGCAGCGACACTGGGAATTTTGGGTCTGTTCTGGCACTGAAATGTCTTTGTTTTTGACCAAGTTACAAAGAAGCAATTTGCTATTAAAAAATATTTAACAACTGGTGAAACAGCCTGCCGGGGCTGGAACACGACTCCACCCGGCTACACCGACACCGGGAGGGGCAGTGCGGGGAGGGAGGGGGCTGTTTTTATCTGTGCTCAGGCGTGTTGAGCCTCCTGATAGGGGTTGAACTGAATTTCTATCAAATTTCTACTAACTTAGGCACCCAGATAATGCGACTGGGAGTCGATTTACTCCCTTCATAGGAACAAAAATACTTTATTGATTTTTTATTTTAATGATTATTCTTTTTTAAGATTATCTTGAAATATAGCATACCTTGAAACTATATGTTTAAAAATCAGCTTAAAAGTTTACCATGCATTCATTCTCCAATACAATCATAATCATTTTCATCCATCCATCACCATAACCACTTAATCCCAACCGGGGTCACAGGGAGGACCAGAGCCTATCCCGGGAACAACGGCCGCAGGCTGGAACCAACCCTGGGCAGGAGCCAACACATCGCAGGGTGCACACACACACACACTCACGGGGCCAACGTGAGCTGGAAGCGGAGCCCGGCGCCGGCTGCGGGAGACTGACCGTTTCCTGCGGCAGGGAGCCCAGCACCTCGGTCAGGTTGCGGTGCATCTGCTCCGCCGTTCCTTCCAGGAACCTCCCGCATCCGGCCAAGAAGAGCGTGTCCCCTGGCGAAGCGGGACGGGAGGTGGCGTGAGGGGGGGGGCACGGGCACCGCGGCAGACAGGGCGCTACGTCAGGGGCACGCACCGGAGAAGACGGCCGGGGGGTCGTCGCATCCGTCCTCCCACACGAAGTAGCACATGTGACCGGAGGTGTGGCAGGGAGTGAAGAGGCAGCGGACGTTGAGGGAGTGAAACTGCGGGGCAGAAGTTGGGGGGGGGGGGCAATAATATTTGTCTATTTAGCTGATACTTTTGTCTAAAGTGATAAAGTAGGGGGCAAATGGGGATTAAGGGCCTCGATGAAGAGCCCAACAATGAAGTCACTCTGCCAACTCTGGGATTCAAACCAATAACCTCACAATCACAGGCACAACATCCTAACCTGATGAGCCACACACCATATGTAATGCACAAATGAAAATGTTTAAAACTGTAAAGGGGTGTCTGTGCACCTTGAGCTCCTGGCGGTCGGTGACCTTATCCGTCAGCGCCTCGATGCGATCGTCCCCTCCGTACACCCTGAGACCCGGCAGCTCCTTCACCAGCGCTGCATTCCCCCGGGCATGGTCCCTGAGGAAAGGGAGAGCCGAGATTCTCCACCTCCCATCAGCGGATACAACCACACCCTAAAATCCTTATTACCCACACTCAGAGCAGGAAGTACTGCTCCAGTTACTCCCACGAAACTAAACACTGACACTAATTGATCTTCGGTGTTCACCAGCTGGATGGGGTGGACCGAGCATTAGGGGAACAGGGGCTAGGTTTACCAGTGATGGTGGGTGGTCAGGACGGCCGTGAGAGACAGTCCCTCCCGTTTGACGATCTCCAGCAGCTGTTAAAAGCCAACCCGAGAGAGTCAAAACAATATCACACAGGTTGGTCTCACTTTAAGCTGGGGGAGATTTAAGCAACGTACTGACCGTGTCGGAGAATGATTAGACTTTACATGGGAAATCAAATAGCTTGCATGGGTTACCGTCACCCGAACCGTATTCTGATCACATGCAAACAATACAGAAAACATTACCGCAGATATGTTCTCGCATCTCCAGCTGATTTTACAGTTTAATATGACAGATGTCCGCTATATAGAGCAGCCCCGGCGTGCATCGCTCCCTCACCCGGTGCGGCACGGCTGGGTCCACCGCCACGGCCTCCCGGCTCTGCTCGTCGATCACCAGGTACATGTAGTTATCCTCCAGGATGGAGATCACCTTGACTTTCATGCCGCAGCGCTCCCGGGGGGCATGCAGGGGGCCCGACGCAAGGCGGACGCAGCACCGATACACCGCGGAAACAAACTGCAACTAAGCGTCCTTTAAAAATGCGCTTTCTGGTGCGTGTTAGCCAAGCGGCCGGCCGAAGTGCATGTGCACCGCCCAGATCTGCACGTCGGGCCGGCGGAAAGCCGAAATTACCGAGGGGGAAAAAGTGAATCGCGAACGATCATTAACTAACACAAGGCGGCCATCTGAGCGGGAAGGCGTCCGCTAAACACGACATCATCGCCCGCATCCACCGGGGGTGTTTTTACCTTAATTAACAGCAATGCCGCTCCCCGTGTTTCCGATCGGGGGAATTAGCAGCTCACATCGCGTCTAAACCGCAGTAAAGGAACCGGAGACCGAGCCCATTAAAATGGTGGCCCTTTCCACACCCCCGGCTACTCGCTTTAGCGGCCCCGGTTTCTGTCCGGTACCAGGCTGCAGTACCCGCTGACCCTGTGTTTACACAGCTTCCTGCAACACTCCGATGTCAGATCTATTATCCATTACAGATGCACCAGGATAAAAATAAGAAACTGTTGGGCCGTAATTTGAGTGTTTTATTAATGACAATAGACGGTACATCAGATTGGCGTCTTTCTCATACTATAATTTAAGCGGCTCTTTCATGTGCATACTTGGTTTGGCCAAAGCTTCTAATAATAATAATTTCAGAAAAATCATAAATCTTTCTGGCTAATTGTAAGATTGCGAACAATTACATATGTCACATTATGCAATAAGAAAAGCAGTTTACCAATAACAAATCACAACAAAATCTAAACGTCTAACATCCTATTTCACTAAAAACTGTACACATTCTCTCTAAGTGCATTAACTATTTAAAAAAAAACCGACTATTTGAAACTATTGGTTAGAACTGAAAAAACAAATGTGATTACTCTTGACAAAATAAATATTTGACATTTCTTAATATTAAGATATCCTTAGAATTATACATAAATATATCTTCTGATTGTTTTATGCAAGGTGCTGATCATGTCTTGAATTATGAAAATATCATTTTTATACATCCATTTACACAGCAGTAATGATCCATCTGCTGAAAAATATGACAACAAAGAAATCCACTTCTACGTATTAAACATTAGTCTTCTGTCGTTATTCAATGGAATAATACTTTTAACAACATCTATCACACAGTATGTCCTATCAATATAAGTATGTATGTTCTGCTGATAATTAGTATTTGAGTAAATGAAGTATTTACAGCAGTGATGAGTGCAGGCGGGTGGCACTTTCACTGACGCCGTGTAGTGCACAGACAAGCCCCCCTCCTCAACCCTAGTCTTTCGGGACACGGAAGTTGTCCTTCTCTCTGCGAATGCTGCCCATGGCCTGGATGGGGTCGTTCTTTCTGGCGTGGTCCTGCACCGATTTCTCCCTGTTCACAAAGTCACAGTCAGAGCAGTTTGGTCCAATCACATTCCACCTACAAATAGCTTCACCCAGGATGGGTCTCTGCTGATAATTTATACATTTTAAATGTAGTTATATTTATTTAGCAGACGTACAATTGAGAAAGCAGGGTCAGCCAGTTTGGGGGTTAGGGGCCTCGCTCAGGAGCCCGATGGTGATGTCACTGACCCGTTGAGCCACGCACAGCCCCCACCATGGTGAACTCCCCTTACCTCACTCTCATGAAGGGGTTGTACGTGAACTCCTCGCCGATGGTTGATGGGATGGTCGGTTCCCCGTTGTCATACGTCATCTGAACAGAAGAAGCCCCCCCCCCCCCATCAGTCATCCCCGTTTCAGCGTCGCTCCGCACGGCGGCGCCTCACTTTAGCCACACCCACCTTCGCCCAGGCCAGCTTCCTGCGGATGTCCTGGTTGTCTGGCTCCACGTGTCGAGCGAATTTGAGGTTGTTGATGGTGTACTCATGCCCACAGTAAACTCGCTAAAAGGACAAAGGCACAGGCTAAATGCTAACGGGGGACACATTTTACATTCATTTGTTTAGCAGTTGCTTTTATCGAAAGCGGTGGTTCTCAACCTTTTTTGCACCTCAACCCAATTTTTACCATGCCAGCTTAGTCGTGACCATATATCAAGTATAGGTTTAAATTCACACCATGATCAAGCACACAGTGCACTCTGCAGTTTACACCAATCAATACACAAATCTGATTGGATGTGCCAGTGAATTTTAAATTAGGCATCTGTGGTTTGGCTTTTTGGATTATCTGAATGTTCACTAGTTTTGCAGACCCAAGACCCGTTTATATAGGTTAATTGTAGGATTGGGGCTGGGAAATCGGATTGTGGATCAGCATAGGAGTTTGCCGGTTTTGAAATGCTTACATTTCCAACTTTGCCTCGCGACCCTTTCAGAACTTGCTACAACCCTTGGGTCGCGACCCACGGGTTGGGAATCGCTGATCTAAAGTGACGTGCATTTAAGAACGCAGGAAGGACACCATCTGATTCTTTTCATCTGTCCTGAATAGTACTCAGGCGAAAAATTACACAACATGCTGTTTGTCAGACGGGGTTAGAGGTGAATGAGAACACCTCTGAATCATCATTATCATCATCATCATCATGGTCGTCGTCTCATATCTGGTCCGGGCCCTGCTCAGCCCTTTACCGTCTCGGGTGGCAAGCGTCCAAGGACTTCGATCAGCGCCCGGTACATCTCATCTGGGGTGCCCTCGAAGAACTTCCCGCAGCCCGCAACAAAGAGCGTGTCCCCTGCACACATGTCAGACATGGTCATGTAGCCGCCGCGGCAGTGATGCAAACCCGGTGATGAGCCACTCGTCACCTGTGAAGACCGCCGGCGGCTCGGCGCTCCTGTCCTTGGTGATGTAGTAGCAGATGTGTCCGGAGGTGTGGCAGGGAGTGAAGAGGCACTTCACGTTCAGGGAGCCGACCTGCCGGGACCAGGGAGACGTCAGCGTGCGACAGAAGCGCCCCGAGCTCCCTGCGGACCTAGACGGCGACCGTGCTCACCGCAAATGTGTTATAGTGAGTGACTTTCTGAGTGAGCGCCCCCACTCTGTTGTCGCCCCCGTACACCCGCAGCCCGGGCAGCAACTTCACCAGCTTCTCGTTGCCACCGGCATGGTCCCTGTGGAGAACAGGTCGGCTCAGGTGAGCTTTACTGTTATACAGTACCATCCATACACAGGAATACAGCGGCATGAAAAAATGTTCCCCCAGGACCACGGTGTGACACACAATGGCAGTGACAGGGGGAGGGTTTTCACAGGACTTGCAGTGCGAAACGGGGGCTGGACACAGAGTTTTATATCCACAGTGCAATGTGTAAGTAAACAATACACTACAGGACTCTACAGTACAGTACATACACAGTACTATACAGTACATTACATACATAGTACTGTATGACAGTTCTGTACAGTACAGTGCAAGCAGTACAGTACATACACAGTACTGTACAACACTACAGTACCTACTGAGTACTGTATGACAGTTCTGTACAGTACAGTGCAAGCAGTACAGTACATACACAGTACTGTACAACACTACAGTACCTACTGAGTACTGTACAGTACCTACACATTTCTGTACAACAAAATACAGTACCTACATAGTACTACAGTACATATACAGTACTGTATAATACAGTACATACAGTACTGTACTACAGTACTGAACAATACAGTACAGTGTATACACAGTACCATACAGTACATACACAGTACTGCACAACACAATACACTACCTACGCAGTATTGTACAATACAGTGCCTGACAAAAGTCTTGTCACTTAACCAAGTTGTAGGAACAACAAATAATAACTTGACCTGTAGTTAATCAGTTGGAATCAGAAATGGCTTATAAGAAAAGGCAAAGCCCTCTAGATTATGCTTATTATACCAAAATAAAGTTTTGCATCATACATTGAGTTTTGTCATGTAATTAGGACAGAAAGGTCAACTTTTGCCTGGACAAAAGTCTTGTCATATATAAAAATAATGTAGAAATTAAACATATACTTCATTTAGAATACACAAACATGCTACAATATCATCAGAACATAAAGTCATGGTGCCTTGGGAAAAAAAAATTAATAATGTGTATGACTCCCATGAGCTTGGAGGATGTAACCCCAAACCATGATTTTTCCTCCACCAAACTTGACTGATTTCTGGGTGAATTTTGAGTTCATGCGGGTTCCAACAGGTCTCCTGCAGTATTTGCTGCATTTGGTATGTAGTTCAATGGATGATTCGTCAGAAAAATCAACCTTCTGCCACTTTGCCACTGTCCATCCTTGCTGCAAGCTGTGGGCCTTGGAAAATTCAATATGCTTTTTTTTGTTGCGTTCTAGTTAATGCTGGTTTCTGAGCACCAATTTGGCCATGGAGACCACTGCGTGCGAGAATTCGAGAAACTGTTCTTGTAGACACAGCGGTTTCTGGTGACCAGTTCTGATGTAGATCTGCTGCAATTGAACAAGGGTTGGCCCTGGACTTTCGAAGCAACAAACGGTCCTTTCAAAGAGTTGTCTTACGGGGTCTGCCTGACCTGGGCTTGTCATGAACATCACCAGTTTCTTCATATCTTTTTTTAATCCTCTCCACTTGACGTTTGGATACATTAACGATGTCTGCCACCTCAGCAGCAGACTTGGTCTGAAGTTGTCAGAAGTTAG